GCTGGAGCAAGCGCCGCGAACATAGCTGAGTACCAACCATAATATCAGCCTCAAATGCGATCCTATCCTGTAGATGATCTGACACCCGCGACACATTAAACAACCTCCTACCATCGCTTGCCTAAAAGTAAAAAAAGAAAATTTTCTTTGGTTATATATTGGAAAAAAATAAAAATTCTAAGCGAAGATGGCATAAATTGATAGATAAGAGGTGCTTTGAAGGGTGTATGACCTGTGCATTAAGTCCAAAGGAAACCTTAGATGCAAGCCCATCTTTTCCATCAAGAATACCACTAGGAAATGGATTATCAGAAAAGGGACCAGACATCTCATTCTCCAAGAATGCATACATATAGCTTGGTCCTAGCGAATAAATGGCCTGAACTTGCTCCGTAGATAAGGAATCATTAAACAAGTAAATGGGACCGATCTGGCCAAAAAATGGGTACACATCTCTGATGGATTCCAGGCCTTCGTTATCTTGGATATGTGGCAACGTGATACTTGTACCAATGAAGCAGCTGGTAAGTACATCAGTAACTTTTGGATAGCTGAAACAAATATAACAAGGTCAAGTACTGTACAAACAGAAAAAAAAAAAAAAAAAGCACCAATATGACTTGTCAATCATTATACGGATATAACAAGAAGCCCTTGTCAATCATTAGTACCAAGAATCACCTGCATCTTTCAGACGACACTAGCTCCCCATCGACATAGCACCTCAGGAGACTACCACCCCAGAACGCTCTTCCAATACTATGAGAAACACAAATAAAATGCCATTTTTTACTGACCAAATTAGCATGCACATTTACACATTGCCGTTTCAGATTCAGTGACTGCAAAAAGGAAGAAAATTGTATAAGGGGAAGGTGTAAGAAATATGAAAGAATGAAAAGAAAAAGAAAATCAGAAAGGTCATGTCATTTGTCTTACAACATAAGACAATCCATCGTTCCCAATAGCAGCAAAGCAGCCCTTCCCATTTTTTGACATAAAACTGAAGATACCCATTTTCTTATCTCCATGAAAGCTTTCTACCCTAAGCCAACAGCAAAAGGAAAACCCCTTATTCACAGGCCAGTGAACGGGTGTTCTGATTACAATGCCCTGCGATTGAAAAATAATACAAAAGAGGTAAGAAAGTAAGAAACAAGAAAAAGTAAGAGTTTGTCTACTCACCAAGAAAAGTGTAACACTTAACCATCAATATCTCCGACAGAGTACCACCGTTTTTTTGTTTCAAAAATTCATAAGCTTTCCACCTTAACAAAGCCCCCAAGATGTCTAAACTTTTACCAATTAAATTTGCGGTATGTTCAAATACAGTTGCATAAATTAAACACTGGAAACTGACTTCATCCAAGCTTATACCAATTGATGAACTAGAACTTTATTTTAACAAATAGGAGTAGCACGAACATGCAGATATTATACATAGAAACTTTCTCAACTGGGACAAAGACTTACAGAATCAACTCCATTCATGTCAAAAAAGCCTGTTGGTCCTTTCTCATTCAGCATTGACAACAAACAAGCCAATAACAGGGAGCGAAATCTCTGTTGATTACCCACTCTTTCACTCCGAAGAAGAGCAAAGATCTTACGTATATCCTTCCCAGAAATACTGTGGCCACCAATTGTTCGAGTTAGCTGTGTTATTTTCATGATAACATTATCATTATCTTCCAGAGAAAACCAATCGAGAAGAAGGTTAAGCATTCCTGCCCGAACACATGAAGCACGATTTGATATGGAATCCCTAAGGAGTTGCTGAAACAAATTTAGGCCATAACACTGCAAAGACTCGCTGCTCTGCCAATTCATACAACTCCACAGTAAAAATACATCCCAAAACAAAATATTGTAAAACGCAAATCCAAGTAACAAGAATTGCACCAACCTTCTGAAGTACATTTAAGTAAAGTATGATAACATCTTCATTCTGAGTAGGAAAAAACAAAATAAACATGGAAGTAGAGTTAGCCACCATTAACTGAGTATGAAATATTTTAAAAAATTAAAAGGAAAAGAGAGATCATTAACTGATAAATTACGAAAACCACATCACCTTTATGAGAGCACTGCCTTTATCATCAAAATTGCCATCAACAAGCATATCAAGTAATGCATCTAGGAGCCTTTGGGTAGGTTTCCATTGGAAGAAATCCAACAATAAGCTTTGCAGTGTCTGATAACCCTTGCCAGCAAGGCCTTTAAATGCAAACTGAAATGAACAAAAGTAAGCAGTGGCGAAAAAAAATTATCCTAGAAGAGACCTTTAGGTCCAACTTAAACTCAGAAAGTCTTCCTAAACGATAGAATAACCATGTCTTTTGTTCCACTATCTGACGATTTGAGATCAAAGTTCCCTTCCTGAATTGCTTTCACTATTGCTTCAGTCCCAAATCAAGTTAAGTAATGTTCACATGTGACATGTCATCCAAAGAAAAGCCTTATCTACATTGATAATGAGAAGAGGTGCGATGTTGTATTTTGCTAACATGGTAAGGAACTTTTACAGAATAATCTTTATTTATGTCGCTAAATATGTTAGTTAAATCTAAGACTTCCATCAACCCCATGCTTTTTTTCCATCCCAAGGTTATAAGTGAACAAATCATTAATAAGTGCCCTTACTGTAGTGAAGCGCAAAAGTAAAGAAGAATCAATCACCTTTGAGGCATCATTATTTGCAAGCAGGGAAGTTAGAGTCTGAAGGACATTTAAAACCAACTTCTCTCCATTTGCTTCATCGAGATTACCATTTAAGAGAGACACAATGTGTAAGAAACACTCCCCCTCACGGAATAGGGCTTGGTAATACTGAAGGGACGAAATAACAGTAGAGAAAAAATTAGAGGAAGCAACAAAGAAATATAAGGAGCTACATCAGGAGTAGACGATGCCGAACAGAAAATACAAGCACTCGGTAACAAAGTTAGAATCATACCTTCGAGTCAGTCTTGATCAAATCCCTCATACCCGCCAATAGATCAACAGATAAGTCAACAAAATCATTTTCTCTTTCCTTCACTTGAGTGAAAGTCTCTAGATATTTGGAACACACTTGTATTTTTGCTGTTTTGTCTTCCTCACATAATGGCTTGATCTGAAAATTTGGATAAAAAATCTTTGTAATGCTCCTTGACAAGCTAAAAAGTCAATAGAATCTTAGTAAAGACTTATAAGTACTAGTTTGAAAGAATTACCTTCATGAGATCAATAATGTGTTTCATCACATTGTTCCTTGCAGCTTTTTCCCAAAATAGCTCAAAAAGACAGTCAACACAAACGGAGCTTTGCAAAACATATATTTTTGCTTCATTTGTTGATGAGAAAAACTCTGTAAAAATCCCAATACATGTCTCCATGCATTCAAACCAACAATCCTCTGTATGACTTGATTCAGAATTCTTCTGAGGTGACTCAACTACAACTCCACTGTCAGTACTTTCTACTAAAGGGCTAACACACCCGGACTTTCTACTTTCCCTGGCTTGAACGCAAGCCAATCTGAGCACACGACAAGCTCCGTTTAATCCCTTAAATGAAAGTTTATTTTCATTCGAAAGCTGTAACAAGCGTAACAGTCTCTGTGCAAGACCATTTGCAATACTGGGTGTAGATGCAGACTTCTCAAGAGCATCTAAAAGAACAGATACACTGGGCTGCAATCACCAAAAAAACTAATTCATGAAAGCCCTCAAAGAGAATTACAAGTACAAAGTTGCTAGTTAAAGACTGAAGCTTCATCAATCTAAATCATAGAACTAGAAAGCCCATCCTTCATAGTATTCACTAGCTTGCAGAAAGACATCACTTCTCAAAATATTAAATTTCTCCTTTGTGAGTAACTTTCTTATGTATCAGGGGACACTAAAGCAAGCAAAAATTATCACTGAAATCAAATTCCAGAAGCGAGATATTGAGCTAAACCCACATTATTGAATTTCAAGCAATCACAAACACTGAAGAAGACTCATAAGCATTCGAGAAAAAAAGCAACGAAATGCGTACCGAATGAGACGCAGTTGCATCAGAACTTGAAGGCGATTCTGCGAAAGTGTGAGATTCCATCACCGGCGCAATCGGTTTTCGTATCAATGATCTGTATTCAAGATCTCTACCCGACGGATTCGATCCCACGAGAAATTCTCCGAAGCAAGCACATAACCGTTGTTATTTGGATCACTGCGAAGAGAAACGGCGAAGAATAAACCCTTCTTCAGGTTTCTGATAACAAGCTGCTAAAGAAGCATCGGACCATTTTTTTCCCCCAAATGCTGCAATCTGCAGAAACGAAAGAGTGCAGACAAGTATCTAAAATTTACAAAAGCGAATCCTTCGTTTTAGTAAGTATTATCCGAATTGATCCCAACATTATTTTTAAGTCAACGAGACCCATTTTTGGTAAAAACATTTTTGTTAAAGACAGTTTTGGTAATGTTTTATTAATTAAACCGCAGAATAACTCTTACATGATTATTGGTGTTTATCCATAATCAAATTCAAATATATTCTACGAAATCACAAACAGAAATTAAACTTGAGATTGAAGAAGTAAAAGTGAAACTTAAACACATGAAAGGTTGTCAATGTTAGTTATGTTACTTTAGCCATTTAAGAGCATTTATAAAATCTTCACATTTTACCCCCAGAAAAAGAGCATTTCTAAAAACCACTCATTTCCAAGTTAAACACGTACTAGTAGTTTACTTTTTACCAAACCCATTTTTAGTTGCTCTAAGCTTAAATGTCCATGAGAGTTTTACCAAACCCATTATAGTTGCTCTTAAATTCTCCAACAATTTCGTTTTTTTTTGGTTGAACTGATTGACAAAAAAAATAAAATTATCAACCAGTTAATATGTCTTTCTCTATATTTATAAGCATCGCTAAGTGTCACCTTACAGGCTTACATACATATTACAAAACCACATCTTATTATTATATATGGCCCTATAATTATCTATGAAGAGAAAAAACAAACAAATTCATAGAACTGTGTCGTTGGCCATGGACGAGACTGATCGAGTTAATGTTACCCAGAAAACAATCCGAGAAGGCCACGAGCGATTGACTGGAGCTGGGACTGATATTGAATATCTGAATTGCACAAGTTTTGAGACGAAAAAATGCATTGATTTGATGCTCAAAGTGATGAAACCATCTCTACACTTGCTTCTTAATTTTTGCCAAATCTCCACTGCATATAATAATATATAATCGAATTAGCATAACAAGATGATGCAAAAGCTATAAATTCTATGTGAGCATATGATTCAAGATTTAAACCTGTGGCAAGATTGAGTCTTTTGTGATACTGGCTATAAGATGGGAACGTTTTTAGCATCTGATCTTTGTTGTGGAGAGCAAAGAAACCTCCACGAACATAACTTCCAACAGGTTCGTAAGGAGAAACCTCCATCGAGATCTCAGCTATGATAAAGAACGATAAATTAACTGTTAGAAGAATACTCTATTAATATTTTTATTTTCTTGTATTTATTAATTTTTCAAATGTAATTCAAATGATACTAAGAGATAAGATAAATTTAGTTGAGAAAAAAATCTATATTTAAAATGAGGGCAGGAAAGGAAACTGATGGCTCACCCATATACTTCAAGTAGCAATAAACGACTAGAACGAATATAGCAACCAAGCCTCCTTTGCTAGATTTCGCTTTCATTTTTATACTCACTTCTCGTGTTCTGTTTTTGTCTTTTGGTGTTTCCTCAACAGTTTTGAGTTGTTTTGAAGTGGAAGGAAGTCTGATACATTTTGAGCTAGTAGCATGAGTTCTTTATATAAGATGCAGATGGATCCAATATGTCTCGGAAGTTTCTTCACGTCAAGATGCTTAACCATTGACCGTTGTTATCAAAACAAATGATTAACCGTGCTCGACACGCATTGACTTGGACTCTCTTATATTAATGCAACTTACAATATGGTTTGTGTTGACTTGGTGCTCTTTGAAGTGATCATGGGTATTACTTTCTAAAATATTATTGTTTCTTTCTGATAAAAAATTAAATTTAATCAATTCTTTGTTATGTTTCTTCTACTTAAACTAGTTTTTTTATTAAATTCTTTGCCACTAACTATAACCATTAACCGACCATTTTCATCGGACCGTATTCTCTTTTACTACCATTTTTTCTATGCATTTTTGGGTTTTTCCAAAAAATATCATAATTGCATCGTTGAAAACGATCGATAGTTACATTATCAAGACTAATCTTGTTTTCATATTTTGGATAAATAGATAAAAGCTTTTGTCTAGCCAAAGTGTCCCTGTCTATATAGTGTAATCAAATTATTTTGGCAGTCTCTCATTATTATTTTCCCAAGACCAAGTCTGAGGCTTTTTTTGTTGTTGTAGAAGACCAAGTCTTTTCTTTTACATTTAATAACTAAAACATTTAATTTCTTTGTAAAAAATCAACAGCACCTACATATGTATTATTGGACCGTCCTTGGACTAAATATGATGTTATTAAGATATAACTAGGATGACTAATTATGGCACAAAATATCTTTTAGCATCGAGTAAGTATGTAGCACTAAAATGTTTTCTTCATCTACACACTGTGCTCCTAATACTTTAGAAAGCATATTAGAGACGCGTGCCTCCAGTTCCTTAATTAAAACCATATTGTAAGATGCATACGTGTGACTTCGTCTCACCAGACAAGATGGTGAGATCGATATGATAGCTGTATTTATGTTGCAACTACCTTCATCGAAGAAGAAATTGGTGCTGTCGATGGTAGTAAACATGTTGTGCTTGATACTATATATTTCCAAAATCCATATACAAAAAGTGGTAGGCACTGTTGTCTGCTAGATAACACAAGCAATTGTATATGCAGTTTCGTTATAGCGAATTTGTTTCATGGACTAGATCTCGAGTTGTAAGTTGGAGTACCGAATACCGAACCTCGTGAAAAAACTTTTTATTTTATTTATTTTGCGCTTTTTCTCATTATTTAAACACGTAAAACTATCTCAAATCTGAATTACAACTTCCATCTTTCAATTGCCAGGCCCGCAAATGAATGCTAGTTGATTGGGAGACAACATGGACAAGTATGAACTTGAAACGTAATATGATAAAAAAAGCCAAAATTTGCAAAAGTACAAGAAAGCTAAAGAAATGGTTCACAAGACAAAATAACTTTTTTACCAAGAATACTAGAGCTTTTGTCGTCGTATTGAAAACTAAATAGCACAAAATAACAAACACACGAGCTCACATTAGTGAATAAAATGCTAACAATAAACACAAGAGACGAATTTAGCAAGACAATCACATATACGCAATTAAGGAAAACATTGGCCCATGGTATAAAAATTACCCATAATGGTACAAGGAAAGCATTAAAGATAAGCATAGAACATGTAACTCGTAAAAATGACTAACACTCCTGCAATTAATTTCATTATACAGTACAATATAACTTATATAAAGTAATACTCGATAAATTAATATCTCGGTGAACTAAAAAATTCTTTTTCAGTTTCATATTATCTCTCAAGAAATTAACCTCTCGCTAAATTAGTAAACTATTGTGGTTTTTAAATTGTTATTTTATAGAGGTTTTACTATAGTTGTGTTTTTTGGCATATTTCTTTAACTGAGAACAAATTACGTTAAGGGAAAACACCAAAGCAAATAACGAAAAAGACGAAAACAAGCATTGTGTTTTTTATCTTTTTTTGTTGTTGTCGTCATTGTTGGTCCCGGATTCCACACCTGGAATCCAGCCCGTAAGGACCCATTACCTTTGATCCAAGATTGAAGTCCAGGCCCACTCAAACCCAGTAAGAAGACCTCGAGCCCACCAAACACTCCATCGTAGCCAGCTAACTGCCATCCGAGCTATTCCGGTCGACGTAAAGACGAGCTCCAGCTCGATCAAGGACCAGGTCGGCATAACGAAGAAAGACGAAGTCAAAGAAGATCTTATTCAAATCTGGTCTGGTCCGAGATCACCGGGATCGTTAGCTGCACGTGGCGAGATATGCGGAGGTGGATCGTAGCTGCTTCTGGAGCTATAAAAGGAGCTGGAAGTCAGTCGGATCAGGGGGACCTTCCTTTCTGCTCAATTCAGACCTAATACTATCATCTTTACCTTGTATTTTCCTTTGAGTTTAGTTCTTTCTCTCTTCTGAGAATTCATTGTAACTTTTTCATTCAATTAATACAAATCCGTTTAGCCAAATCCTTGCTTACGATTCATTCGACTTACATCAAAATCTAGCCCTAAATCTCCCTAAGTTTCTTCCTTTACAAAACCTATAAATTTCGAATGTGGTTTTCAGCACCCACAATCATATCTTATATATAATTAGGAGTTGCTCTCTCCATCTAGAGTGTCCACATCAGCACAAAACATTAAATTGTATTTAAAATATTTATTAAATATATGACTATTCATATTTCTTTACATTTATTCATATTTAATAAAAATATACAAATAAATTTAATTAATAGAAATATGTGATAATTTGATGTTAAAAGTTATCAAAAAGTTGGAATATAAAATAGAGATGGAGTAAAGAAATATTTAACTTCAAATAGTATATATTTACCTTTTTATTCAAAGGATTATCCTATTTAAAAATGTTATAATGTGTTTACAAGTTAAAAAGTTGAATATAAATTAATTAAGATAATAGAAAGCTAATGAAAAATTAGAGTTAGAGTTTGTTTTTCTAAACAAATAGAAATGGAGTTTTATATGTAAATTTAATTGTAGTGAAAAACAAGAATATGTTTACAAATTTTAACCTTCAGTCAAATGGTCAAATGCATATACATATTTATAAATTTTAACCTTCAATCAAATACATATACATGTTTACAGTCTAATAGAAGTAAAAAAAAGTAAACAAACATAATATTTATAACATGATAAAATTTTAGAAATAGAAATCGAGATAAAGCGGGGTGTTAATATCCTAATAAATTAAAATAAAAAAAAAAAATTATTCATATTTTTTAGTGTTAGTGGTTGAGTTAACTCAAAACATAACAAAAACAGTATAAATAAATTAAACAGAAAAAAATATCGTAAACAAGCACGTTCAAACCTAGTTTCTTGAATAGAGAATAAATTACATTAAAGGAAAACACACAAGCAACGAAAACAAACAGTGAAAAAGGATAAAAACGCATACCATACTCTTATGGAAAAACTTTGCTTGCAGACGAACCACTGCCGTGTGCTCAAATAGAAAGAAAAATAACATTTCTTTTGGGTTTCATTTACTATTTTACAAATATGAGCCAAATTTTTTGAAAATTTTCCTGATTTTAATATATCATTCCATAAATTAAGATAAATTAAGAAAACAGTGCTAATAAAAACAGTTTACAAAGTAGTTTACATTTTTTTTCCAACATTCAGGAGTTTATACTCAAAAGTAAAGTGCAAGATTCATGTTTGTTAATCATCTGACTTGTCAAACAAGAGTTTTGCACTTTCAGGTAATTTTTTGGGTCGATTTTCTTCTTAACTCTAAAATATTAAAATAACATATTTACCATAAATGAAACTTCTCTCGGTGGGCAAATCAGTCATTGGAAACATCGGAAGATTTTTAATATCTTTTTTAGTCGCGAGCCTGACTGCAACCGGTTCTTCCTCCGTCGCTTCTTTTTTTTTCTCCTCTTCACAAAAACCCAAGCCGCACGCGTGCTCTCCACGCGCCTCCGCTACATCTCCCTTTCTCGAGCTACCTCTTCTCTCCGATCATCGATTCGGCTTCCTTCTCCATCTCCGGTGATTATTCTGTCCGCTTCTCCAAGCCCTAGGACATTACAGTGTCTCTCAATCTCCCAAAATTTCAGTTTTAGGGTTTGTCACTGAAATCGATACCTCCAAGTAGAGATTTCGCTGCGGAGCTGATTGAATCATTCGTAACATGTGATTGCTGTTTACAAAACACGAAACAATGGTTGATAGCAGTAATAAGAAGAGGAAGGCGTCTATCAGTGAAGGAGACATCGCCACTCTTTTGCAAAGGTCTCTTCTTTATTCGTTTTTTCCTCTATCAATTGATTTTTTTAGAAGACTGTGCTTGACTGATTCTTCGTGGGGGGGTTTGGCAGATATGACACGATGACGATACTGAAGTTACTACAGGAAATGGCACATTACGCTGAGCCTAAGATGGATTGGAATGAGTTAGTGAGGAAGAGTACTACTGGAATTACAAGTGCTAGAGAGTACCAGCTGCTATGGCGGCATCTTGCTTATCGAAACTCTCTCCTCCCCGTGGAAGACGGTGCTCAGCTTCCGGTCTGTGTCTAATCTCTCTTCAATCGCATTACTCAATATGTACATTAGAAACTCAATTTGGCATCAGAGATTTATTGTTATGGTTTCTTGGGATGATTCTGTGTTGGTCCTTGTTTGCTAATTATGTCTCTTCTTATTCACAAAGTACTCAAATTTATGTTAATGTGTGTTAATAAACTATCTCAAAATTTTGTTTTGGACTCTTACTTGTTACATAAGAGATAGTATCTCATGAGTGGTTATTTATTCTACTCAATATTGTTGTGTCCCTTTTCTTGACAATCATGTGATAGCTGCGGATTACAAATTTTAACAAACTCTTGCTTGTGCAGGATGATGATAGTGACATGGAATGTGAATTGGAAACTTCCCCTGCAGTCAGCGTTGATGTAGTTTCGGAAGCTATGGCGCATGTGAAAGTAAGAGGGAATAGAAGATAATTTTATGAGATTATTCGTCTTTCCTCTCAGAGTCCTTGTTCAGTTTCAAGAGAAGAGCTGGTTCTATATACTTTAGATTCATTAGTGCTGTTGCTCTGCGACATTTTCTCCCTAGAGATATTTGAGTTCCTGCTATGAATATATTTGCCATGCATTCATGTCTCTACATTATTTTTTAGATTTATATAGGTGTTGCAGATTACAATTGCGTCTTGGGGTCAGAGTACTTTTAGATTCTCTCTTTGACTCTTTACTGGATCATTATTGCTACTGATTTCTCTATTATTTTAGATACTACAAATATTGGTGGACTATGCATGATCAGAATCTCAGTTAGTGGACTGCATACGACCACGCAGTCTTCCTGATAATTTAGCGTCTGAATTTTCTGGATCACTAATGATCCAAATACTAAGTTTCTTTTTTTTGTTTTGTCTCCTTTGGTTTAGGTGATCGCTGCTTCCTATGTGCCAAGTGAGTCTGATATTCCCGAAGACTCAATGGTTGAAGCTCCCTTGACCATCAACATACCTTATGGCCTGCAGAGGGGGCCTCAGGATCCATCAGACTCGTATTGGTCGTCAAGAGGGTTGAATATCACCTTTCCTGTTTCTCTTCAGAAAGCAGCTGACGGACCTAATGGGAATGGGTTGGCCACTAGCATAGCTCCTCGGAAGAGAAGAAAAAAATGGTCATCTGAGGAGGATGATGAGCTGATCGCTGCTGTGAAGCGACATGGTGAAGGCAGCTGGGCCCTAATTGCAAAGGAAGAATTTGAAGGGGAGAGAACAGCCTCACAGCTCTCGCAGGTTGTAATTTCATTTTCCTCATATCTTTGAATAATTTTCCATGTACATTGTGCATCTCGTATCAGTATGCATGAGCGTTAGATTATGCATTCTTTCCTGTTTATTGCTCTGTGGCATATGCATGGTCTTTCTTTACCATCACGCGTAAAGACATTTCACAGTCACAGGATTATGGTAGGAATCTAAGCCTCAAACGAAGTGGGTATAATATAGGGCTTGGGGTATATATGAGGGGTGACGTTTCCTCTGTTGATAGTAATTCACTTCCTTTTCTTTTTCAGTTAGTGTCCTGTTCTTGGTATCCCTACCTGCTTATGCACCATTATCTGAATTCTGTTAACGACAATGTTGGCCTAGAAGAGAATAACTATATCATACTCCTTATGATCATGGGCTTTTACATCATGTATGTCACACTTTGTCATGTAACTAGGTTGCATTTTCACACTTGTCTATATCGGATCCCTGTTTTGTTAGTTGAAGTTTGTAGCAGCTATCAAAACATGTCGAAAAATATATCCGTTGTCGTCTAGTTTGGTCTGGATGTGGGTTTCTCCCCATTTTTCCCGGGTTCAAATCCCGGCAACGGATCTCTAAATGATAAATTAAACTTGACTAGCATAGTAGGGAGCCACTAAAGGCAATAATCTTTTCTGTCAACCATTTTTTGGATATTTGCTCGTCAGATTATTTCCGATGGTTTCAGGTATTCTCTGTGAGTAGAGTGAGACGAAATATTTTTTCAGGGACAATTTTGGATGGGCATCTGTAATGCTTTTTATTTAGCATTATATCTTTCATCCTACTGGTAGCAAACTGAATTTCTTATTTGCAGCGGTGGGGAGCTATAAAGAGAAGGTGTGAGACTTCGAACACTGTTGCCCAATCTGGCATACAGCGAACAGAAGAACAAATGGCAGCTAATCATGCATTATATTTGGCGGTGGGAAATCCTGTACCCTCAAAAAAACCTGCAGTAGGTACGAGTGGCTATGCTGTAACTTGTTTAAATTTTTGTTTTCTTGCAAAGCTAAAATTTTGTTGCCCCAATGCTTCTGTCAGTTAGATCTCTCAATTTGACTGTGTTTGTTTAGGTATACCTCCAGTGCTTTCATCCAGAGCACAAGCCAACGGTGCCACCAGTGGTAGTTCATTGCAAGGTCAACATTCTCAGCCAGTAGTTCAAGCATTGCCCCGGGGATCAACATCCGTTCCTGCTGCAAAATCTCGACTTAACGCAAAGAAATCAACAGCAAATTCCAGTTCAAGAGCGGAGCTAATGGTAACAGCTAATTCAGCAGCTGCTGCAGCCTGTATGTCTAACCTAGCAACTACAGCATCATTGCCAAAGGTGGAAGCAGGAAAGAACGCTGTTCCTGTGTTAGTGCCAAAGGCTGAACCCGTAAAAGTCGCTTCCACTTCCACAGCCTCTCTGCCTCGTCCTTCAGCACGGAATGCTGAGCCTGTTAAACCAGCTCCGGCAGCCTCTTTGCCTCGTCCTTCAGCTGTATCACCAGCACTGAATGCTGAGTCTGTTAAACCGGCTTCCGCAGCCTCTTTGCCTCATCCATCAAAAGCTGAGCCTGTTAAACCCGCTTCGGCAACCTCTTTGCCTCGTCAATCAGGCATTACATCAGCACCAAAGACTGAGCCTGTGAAAACCGCACCTGCAGCAGTTTTGCCTCGTCAACCAGGCATTGTATCAGCTCCAAAGACCGAGCCTGTGAAAACCGCGCCTGCAGTCTCTTTGCCTCGTCCATCAAGTATTCCATCAGCACCAAAGGCTGAGCCAGTAAAGAGCACTATTGCTACTGCTACAGCTACTAACACTCAAGCGGTTGGACCTTTGAATATAAGAAATGCAACTAATGGAACCCCAAAGCCCGTGATATCTTCAGCACCTTCTAGTAAGCCGTCACATATGGCCCCGTTCTCCAAAGGACCTACAATCCAGAATACTTCAGTTCCTTCTGGTTTTGCGTCGTCAAGGTTGGCCCCAGTACAGAGAGTTCCTGCGGCTAACGTGATGCCACAAAAGCCAAGCGCGGGAGTGGCAGCTACCACCTCTTACAAGCCGGTTGTTGTGCAGAAAGAGCAAACTCAGGCTACTGTAATGCCACAGAAGCCAGGAGCGGGAGCGGCGGTTCCCACCACTTACAAGCCGGTTGTTGTGCAGAAAGAGCAATCTCAGGCTACTGTAATGCCACAAAAGCCAAATGTGGGAGCCGAAGTTATTGCTTCTTCCAAGCCGGTTGGTGTACAGAAAGTGCAAACTCAGGCTACTGCAATGCCACAAAAACCAAGTGTTGGACCGCCAGTTACCGCTATTGGTGTGCAAAAAGTGCAAACTCAGGCTACATCAATGCCACAAAAGCCAACTGTGGCAGTTACCCCGGTTGGTGTACAAAAAGAGCAATCTCAGGCTGCGTTAATGCCACAAAAGCCTACTGTGGGAGCGGCAGTTATTCCGGTTGGTGTACACAAAGAGCAATCTCAGGCTACTGTAATGCCACAGAAGCCAACAGTGGGAGCGGCAGTTAACGCTTCTTACAGGCCAGTTGGTGTACAGAAAGAGCAGCCTCAGGTAACCAGAGCAACAGCACCTCAGCCGAATAAAACCATGTCAACAAGCTCAGTGATTAGCACAGGAAAGCTGGTGTCTGCCAAACTGGAGATTCCTCCTAGTCTTATGCCTTTGAAAAACCTAGTACCGCTACCACCTGAGAAAGAGAGTAGTACCACAGTTTCACCTATCGTTCGAGCTGCGGCTGAATCAAATCCCAAAGATGAAGCAAGTAAAGGAAAAAGTCCAGATGTTGCAGCCGTGGCAGGGACCGGGCAGAAGAGTTCATAGTTCATTTGCAGAAATAGTTGTTGCTTTGCTTTAGTGCTTTCCATTTACGTTTTTTTTTCTTAGGACTCAAGATCGGAGTACGATGATGTACAGTAGTACTTACTACTAATTAGTAAAATGAGAATTTAAATATATTTCAAAGTCTAGAAAACAGTTTTAATTTCCATTTCATTAGCCAAATAGTTTTGGTACAAGAAAAAAGCTAGAAAACAAGAAACTGAAAAACACAAATATAACAAAGAGATGATTTATTCAGGGAGCTTTCCAGGTTTAATGTAACTAGACTGTTTTTGCAGAGCTGGTGATGGACTCACACAGGAGAAGAGAGATGACGCAGATTGCTTCTGTTTACTATGTTTCTTTAACTTGACACCGAACAAGAACGACCGTAATGGAATCCTCGGTCTCCCACTCGACGAGCTCTTACTCGGAGTTGTTCTTGCCTCTGTTGCACTTGTGATCCCAAGATCATCTTCCAATTTACTCAGAATCCTCTCCGCTTCGGTTTTCATCGCTCTTACACGGTCAAGACCAGACTGAAGCTCGGTCGAGACCCTTTTGTTCTCTTGTTTCATGTTAAGTATCTCTCCATGGAACTTTGCAGCTTGGTAACCACTAATCTCTGAATCACTTACTTTACTACCACCTGACTGAGACGTGACTCTCGCAATCTCTTCTTGGATATTAGCTAGTGATGCATACCTTCCTTGGAGCTCGTCTTTAAGAACCGCACTGTTCTCTAGCCACAACTGTAGCTCTGTTCGAATCTCTCTGAGATGTCTGTAGATAGGTTTTGCCTCTGATGCAACTGCAGAGTTATTACCACCACTTCTTGGAGATTCTTGCGACTGCTTGCTTTCGATTCTCAGTTTCGACAGCTCTGACTTCAGATCCTGAACTGTTGTCTGGTACTTCTGTATCTGATGCACAGACGTGCTGAATCTTAGCCAGAACTCGAGATTCTCTTCCAACACCGCGTCGATATCACCACGAACTTTGTCTTCCACAGTTGGTATCTTGCTTCTTGGACTGTCGTTAACATCTACAAACTTCACTCTAACTTCAGCTGACTTTGTTCTCCCTGGTGTTCTCTTAACATCTCCTCCTTGATGATGAGGCGTAGTGGAAACCGAAAAGAGAGAAGTCGGCGAAATGCTCACGCTCTCTCTCTGTCCTTGATCATGTTCCAAACTGTTGTTTCCTTCTGCTTGATGCGGAGAGTCTTTCCCAGGCGTGTCGAGCTTTTGGCGTAGAGACTGAATCTCTACGTCTTTGTAAGCAGCAGCGTTCTTGAGCTCTCTCAACTGTAATGCTAGCTCGAAGAAACCTTCTCTGTTCTTCTTCTCAACTTCACCTAACTTTCTCTTTACTTCTCTGTAATCTCTTAGTACTGATGTGTACTCATCTAACAGAACCTTCTCTCTATCCTCCATGCCGTCTGGTAACATCTGCCTCCAGTTTGGTGTCTCTCCATCTTCGTCTTCCGTTACAAGATCTTCTGTTTCTGTCCCGAAACAAGTGCTTGCTGTTTCTGATAAAGCGAAAGAGTCTTTAACCTCACGTTTCTCTTCTTGACCTCCTTCACTGTGTTCTTCTTCACTCTCTTTGACTAAAACGGCAGCAGCTTTCTTCCTCATTTGTGTCTCCTTCGAGTGAGAATCTTCTGATCCTGAAACAACTCTCTGGAAGATTCCGCCTCCTTCAACATCTTCATCCATCTTCACATCTTGTAACTTGCCAGACAAGTCATCAGCAGTCTTATTAGCTTCCTTGAACTGAATCTGTAGATTCTTGTTCTGATCTTCCACTTTCTTGAACAGCTTTCTCACTTTACTCAGCTCGTCTTCAAGAACGGTTATCCTCTGTTTCATAACCGTCGAATCCGAAACAAGAGCCGCCTTGTCTTCCTCCAGACCGCGGATATGTTCATGTAACTCATCTGTCTCTGTTCTTAACGTCTTCACCAAGGCAGTGTGAGAAGAAGCATTTGTCTCCAACGAAACAACTCTCTGCACAAGATCATCAATCTTCTCCGCAAGCTTCACAACAGTCAGATTCTCGTTTGACTCTTCTCTCTCAGACTCATAGCTCGGTTCTTGAACTACATCAGCTTCTTCTTCTTGTTCTTGTTCTTCTTGTGCTTCTGTCTTGGCAACATAATAATCATCTGACTTCTCAAATCTGTTCCTCAATGCATAAAATCTCTCTTTAGCAGTAATGATCCTCTCTTTCTCAACTTCAGCTTGTTCAACAGATTGCTTCTGCTTCTCCTGAAGCCTACCAAGTGTCACTTTACAAGAACTCAAAGCAGTGCTCGCCATCAACGTCCTAGCTTCACTATCATCAATCGCAGCGCCAAGACCAAACTCATCTTGCAAACTACAAACCCTCTTCTGCATCTCAGTCACTTCATTCTCCAAATCCCAATACCTCTCATAAGACTGCTCATAAGAGCTTCTCACAAACTCCTTCTCCGTCTGCAACGCCAAGATCCCTTTCTGAAGCTTATCAATCTCCTCCAAGCCCTCTTCTTTACTCAACCCCGAGCTCACCATCGCCGCAGCTTCCCGCTTCGCCATTGCAGTGGACACTGTCCTTTTAAGACCAGCCGGTCCTTTTCTTGACAACATCATAGACGGACTCCTGAATTCTTTCTTTGGAATCTCAGGGACTTCAGGGATGTTGCTTCCCTTGGGGATTAGATGAAGATGCTTAGGCGGTTTATTTCCTTCGTAATCTCTATTTCCATCTTCATCATCATCCTCTAGAGGAAACTGAACATGCTCAGGGAAAGCTGTGGCGATTGTGCGGTTTGCACTTTGAAGCTCTCTTGATAAATGATCGTAGCGTTCGGCTAATGCACGGTATGATCTAAAAGCCTCTTCGACGAAATTGACAATCTCTGGCCTTTTACGGTAATACATCTCAGCTCTTTTGGCAAATGTGTCTCCATCTTCATCTATGATCTTAAGAGTATACTCTACTTTCTCTTCCATATCTACACCAATTAACACCAGAAGAGAAATGTTCTTTTGTTTAATCATGTATACACACAAGATCAAGAACATTGTTAAGGAGAAAATGGAACGTACCTTGAAGATTGTGTTCGAGCCATTTGGATTGCTTTGTGCGGATGTGGCTGGCCCACCACCATGAATACGCATTGCTCGCTGCTCTCTGCAACATATTTTTTGTTCTAAGGAAGAAGAAGAAGGCTCAAACATGGCAGATTCATCATCAATATCAATGTGATGTTGTAGGTGTAAAGTTTGGAACTTTTGAGACTTGATAGACAAGGAAGAGAGAAGTAAGCCTTTGTCCGTGTGTAATGGACATGTCCGAGTATTTTGGTGAATCCTTTGATCAACCTCATTTTTAGGATGTTCCCTTTGACAAATAACAAAAAAGATAAGACCAATCAAATAAACAAATTTCACATTTCCTTCTTATCTTCATTTAGCATTGTGAAAATGAATCATTTGTGTGAATGGACTATGGTTTATCAAATTCTAAATAGCCTAATTTTGGAACATCATTTACTTCATTTTTTTGGTACAAACACAATCCAATATATGTTTTTTTTTCTTATATAAGACCAAATACAAACATTAAAAAACTTGTTTTACAGATCCAAAAGGTAACACACTGAAGAATGTAGCCAAAAATAACAACAGAGATTGCAATTTCATGGTTATACAAATGGTTAAGTTGGAGTTAAAGCTTGAACCTAAGCTAATTCAGTAGAAAGTTGTCACCTTTTACTCTTCTCTCTTGATCTCTTCTTCTTAGACACTGTCTTGTGAACTCTTTCACCAATTGAAGCTTCATTGTCTTCTCTCCGTTTCATCATACCTCTAGTCTTCACTCCCACAACTTTTGGAACCACACTCTCATCATCATGACCCACTCTTGGTTTCTCACATTCCTTCTCTGATTCCTCACATTTCTTCTCTGTACTAGGAGGAAGAGAAACTAAGTCTCTTAAACTCTCAACTACATCATCAAAGATCTTATTTTTCAGGCAAGAAGAAGAAGAGCTCAGTAGAAGATCATGAAACCGATTCACAGGAACATCATCAAACGAAAAGTTCAAACCTTTCTTCTCCTCTACTGATTCTTCATCGTTATCATCCCAGTTATACGGAAACCCTAGAAGAAAACGATTGCAAACCTCAGGCGAGACTCCGTTCTGCAAACTACGCGATCGGTTGATGAATCCGCTGATACAAACTTCAATCCCATCCAATGTCTCGAGAGTGTTACAATCATGTCGTTTTGAGATCGCTCCTGATGAAAATAGCCTCACTTCAGATCCGCGTTTCGATTCGAATCCTGAAACGCAGAGACCCTTCTTCACATTTGCCTTCTTCGTTAGCCACCAATCGGATAAGGAGACGGATTTTAGGGTTCCGGCGATGGGAGTTAAGACACCGAATGAAAACGGAGTCTGGGGAATCCCGTCGGTTCCTTGAGGGGAATCAGGTTCCGGCACAAATCTGGAGCAGGTACGCGGCGAGGAAATGGGTTCCGGCATAGCTCCGGAGCGAGTGCGCCGCGAGGATTTAGGTTTCGGCAAAGATCCAGAGCGAGTACGCGTCGAGAAATTAGGTTCTGGCATAGCTCCGGCGGGAGTGCGCGGCAAGGACCGGCGTGCTGAGAGAGATTTTGACTTCGTCGCCATCGCAACGTCTCGATGGGTCCCACTAAGAAAATAAAATGCCCCTCAAAATATTTTGGTTATCATGTGTCCCAATTGAAAATATGTTTATTGGGCTTGAGCTCCAAAAATGGGCCTACTCAAATAGCTTGGTCGGTGGACCAATACATATAATCCGAGGGTCCATAATTTATTTATCACGTGGGAAGCATGCGGAGGATCTGGATAAGAGTCCAAATTTTTTCGATTGGTGAAAATTGTAATTTTGCGGGACCACGAAAAATCGAAATTCATCATCATCATTTTCCGTCTATCCAAAAACTCTCTCGATGAGGCTGCGAAT